GTGTATCCTAAAAGTTATTTTTTTTCTCAGTTTTTTGGGGGTTGCACACCGTACGCCGTACACCATGGTTTAAAACAGTGACTTGTCTGCATTAGCTAATTCTCCCCCGCTTGAACTCTGTGACGGAGGGGGGCTATGACGTTTCCGGAGCCCCTCTGAGATGTTGAGAGGGACGTGGGAGGCAGGCCGCACCGCAAGTGCTGGTCGACGCTCACTCACTCACTCACTCACTCACTCACTCACTATTCCCGGTTTCCGGTTCCTGTGTTTCTCGAAAGCAGAAGTGTAGTGAACTGTATATCTGGCTGGTTTCTCGATGAACTCGACCAAGTAATTGCCCTGGAGCTTTCCGAGTTCAGAGGCTTTCAGGATGAATGCCATAGCCAGACAACGGATGCGTCATCCAGCTCGCCCATTCGTAATTTCCTCCAAGAAGTTTCCGGGTCGCCTTTGGTAGGCTGTTCCAAGGTGTAATCTTGACGAGGGGGTCGTTCCCATGAACGGTGTCCCCGGCCTCGCAGGCGTACTTGGTGAGCCCTCAGACTGAGTGCCCTGGTGAGCCTTCGCCTCCTTCAGCTCGCGAGTACTCTTGCGAAGGGATTTTGCGTCAAGTGTGGCTACCTCTCCCTGTGGAGAGACTTGGCGACGCGTCGGCAGTGAAGAGCCTACCCTTGCTTCCTGTTGCTTCTTCTCATAGCGCAAGCCATCAGGATCCTCCTCATGAGGAGGACGGTAGTGGAACGACAAGTACATGGCCACCACGTCCTGGTAATATGGCAGGAGTCCTGGCAGGAGACAACCACGCCGTTGTCGGTCAAATAAAGCTCATGACCATGAGCAAAGAGCGACTCGACATCGAGTTTGGCGTAGAACATGTAGGGCCCATACTTGACGACCGTTCCAGGTCCCGGAGAAACATCTCCGCCAGCATGCGCAAAGTGTATGGCCTTGCGGTGCTTCTGCCAAGACTGCCTCGTGGCTGTCAGGACCAGGCCGCAGTTCCGCCTGGATTCGTAGTTCGAGTTATCGGTGGCATCGAAAATATAGCCGAGCTGCTTACACCGCACTCATCCCAATGTCGAAATCCCACTCCAGGAATCTGTTGAATCTTCTGCAACTCTTCAAGCCGAAGCACCATGAAGTTCCTGAGAGCGAACCGGTCGTTGTGCTTCAAGACACCGGAGAAGGTCTTAGAGGCCCGAACAGACCAGCTGCCGTGGTCGTATCGCAGCTTGGTCACATTGGCGATTCCCACGGCAATCTCTGACAGCTCATTGGCACTACGGCATCCAACAGCAGCACAGGAACTCGTATTTCCAGACCAGTCGTGCCTGAAAAGGTGAGCTCCAGGATTGTTGTCTTCGTATGGCCTTGACGTGTGACAAAAACGCCACTTTGCCTTCCAGGAGCTTAATCACAGCTATCTCTCAATGTGGAAAGTACGCTGCAGCATCCTTGTGCCCGGAATGACGCGGAATGTCAGCGGGCTTGAGTCGGAGCTTCTCGTGGCCATATGCGATCTCCCGCCTGGGGATAGATCACTACGCCGCCATCTCCAACAGTTCGGAGTGCGCATTACCCAGGACCGACTGTTCATGTAGTTGGTGTTTTCACGAGCCCCCGTTTCCAGGTCCAAACGGATGTGGCAGCCCATGTTAGGGGTCCAGAACACTTGGTTACTTCCACTCGGTACCTCTCCTTGTGGAGAGCTTCCGGCGGACATGGCGGACGAAAAGTCGCATCCTGCTGCAGCCAGAGCTGGAAACAAAAGTGGAAGTTGTGGGCTACTTTTTCACTAGAGTTTGAACCAGCTGATTTGAGTAATGCAGGCACAAATTTATAAATTGCGCTGACAGTTCACGCAAACTGCAGATCATGACGCACAGCTGCTCCTGCGTGAACATGACATGTTGCATTGAAGCAAGGACCGCATACTCCTTTCGGGGCCAGGCGTTCAGAAAGGCTTTGCGCCCAATCATGGAACGAAAAAGAGGATGTGAATCAATTTAACCACCCGGTTTGAACTGAATTCAGGAAGGTTTTTAGGATTAACGCTTCGTTTTCCCTCCTCAACATCTGAATCATGTGAATGGCTTCCTGTTCTTCCGGAGAGTGTGTGGTGGAAGCAGTAGAAACAAGATTGTTTGCATCAGTCCTAATGTGAATTTACAAGCGTTCGTTTGATTTTCGTAGTTGCGAAGAAGACCAAAGAGCCTCGGGGGTCTCTTCGATTTTTGGCCCTCTCGTCAGCAATAAAGATTGTCTTCGTGTGCTGGGATGACTTGTCGCTGTTGTTCCTAAAGCTGCGTCAGGTTTTCCAAGAATCCTAGGTGATCCCTTCACTGGCCACACCCGCAACTCAACCTCTTCATTGCGAATCTGTCGAAAGTCTTTAGAGTGACCAGTGGTTGGAGCAGCAGATGCGGAAGCTAAGCGGGAAGACAGGTAACAAACCTGAAATTGAGTCCGCGTCTGCAAGCAAGAAATGCTACCAAGCAAGGTTGGGAATGACAATCTCCTCAAATTCAAACACACAAAGCTTCTGATAGATCTACTTTTTGTTACCCTGACCAATCATCGATCGCATCTTCGTAGGCGAACCAGCAGCTTCGCCTGTCATAAACCGGCGGTACTTTAGTGATCACCTGTTGGAAAGCTGAAAGCCGGTGTAATTCTTGAAGATGGCGGTGATTCGTCGCATATGTTCATTACCTTGAAGGAGGTAATCATCATCTCCTGCGCCATGCTCAAGCTGCACAGCAGGGTGGCTACCCTTTGCGCTGTCCACGGATCGAACCCCGGGAGATTGCTCTTCCGGATTCTTCGCCTGCGCGGAGTGTGCCGGAGAGACTCCGGTCAGCTTCACCAGGGTGAAGCACACCGGGGATTCGGTTGCCTCCACTCGGTTGGAGCGTGCCTACGTGTACCTCCACCAGCATGAAGCTTCCCGTTTCCCGGGAGTTCCGCTATCATGTTGAGATGTAACCTGGGCGTGTATCCCCTGGCAGAGCGTACAGGAACACAGCCAAACGCAGGTGTTTTTTTATACTACCGGCGCACAGCTGTAGATCAGTTCTCTGTTAGATTTTTGAGCAACCGGCATGGATACATGCCTGTGACGCGTGAAACAGACAGGCACCTGGATGTGTAGCTTTCAATGTTTCACCTCGCCCCCAACAACTCCGCAGCCCTAAACCGTAGCAGTGCCATCGAGAGCGATAAATCAGAAATAGCGGGAGACCACCCAGAGACCACCAGGAAACTCCCAGCAGACAGCAGGAGACCCAGACGGATACCAGCAGGGGACCACCAGGAGCCGAAATGTTTTCGCCAAGTACAGGCGGATCTCAAACCACGGCCAAAATGCTTTCCCCGCTCCAAGTTCTGGCGCGTTTCGGGAGCACGGAGCCTCTGGCGGGATTCAGGAGGATTCTGGAGAGCAGCCAGAATGATTTGCCCAAAATATTGGCGTGTTCTCCACGTGCTGGCGGGATTCCGGAAGCGGTCAGACATGCAATTCTACAAAAAGGTCTTCTTAATGGCTGAAAAGTTCTCTGATGCTGTAAAATAGTCTTTTGATCTCTCAAACCATGTCTGATGCCTCACCCACCAGCCAA